TTATCTCTGTAATGGTAAGATTGTACCCCACAAGGGAACTTAAAGCCTTAAGAAGGAATTATTCTCTTGCAGTTGCTTTCTACATGAGTTGTTAATACATGAAATCAGAAGGAATTGGAAAAGTTTTTTTTTTTTGGAACTTGGAAGTATTGAGCTTTACTTGAAACATCATGTACACACACACACACACACACATACACACACAATTTCACACCTCCATGTCTTTGTATATACCTTTTGTTTCTACACGGAATACCTTTTTTATTTTCTCTTTATCTTTAAGACTCCTATTGCTTGTGCCCTCCTTGGTGGCAGTCTCCTCAATCCTTTTAATCAGTTTTTTTTTTTAAATATATTTATTTTATTGATTTTTTACAGAGAGGAAGAGAGAGGGATAGAGAGTTAGAAACATCGATGGGAGAGAATCATCGATCAGCTGCCTCTTGCACACCCCCTACTGGGGACGTGCCCGCAACCATGGTACATGCCCTTGACAGGAATTGAACCTAGGACCTTTCAGTCCGCAGGCTGACGCTCTATCCACTGAGCCAAACTGGTTTTAGCTTTAATCAGGTTGTTGCTTCCCTTTGTATTCCTAGAGCTGTGTGTCTTTACTGCTGTATCAAATTCTTGTTTGTTTCCTGATCATCTCTTTCCATCTTTTTACTCCCAGTTGAGTGTGTGTTTGTCAAGTACAGGGACTGCCTTTTACAATTTCATAGTCTAGCATCTTGCACTATGTCTGCAAATATTGGTTATGCAATAACTATTAAATGAATACATGTATATAATAGTATTTATATTTGTATATTCTCCCTTATTTTAAAAATGTGTTTACTAGTACGATATCAAAAGCAATACAGTAATTTAGAAGGAAACTAGAAGGAAAAAGGAGGAGAATGGTAAGTAAAATGGGACTAGACATGAACTAAGTAATGCCATGAATCTATAAGTATATAACTAATGTGAATATAAGTACATTTGCAATTACAGAGGGAGCATATATATGGAACTTACAAAATACACGAAAAGCTATCTTATCTGATAGTTGAACAAAAAATTGCATCTCTTATTTTGGCCTTGGAAATAATTTTTTTTTAAGTTATTGATTTTAGAGAGAGGGACATCATTTTGTTGTCCCACTTAGTTATGCATTCATTGGTTGATTCTTTGTGTGTAGTCTGACTGAGGATAGAACCTACAACTGGTGTATTAGGATGGTGCTCTAATCAGCCAAGCTACCTGGCCAGTGCTGGATTTCTTATTTTCTAAGTTACATTTTTGTCAACATATACTTGATGCTGAAGGATTTCTCTGTGGACCACTCATTAGTTTATGGATCAAAATGTAATCAGCATGTGGTATAAAGGAGTGGTCTCTGTACCACTGCTGTGAAGACAGGAATCTGTAATATTATTGTATAGGGTGCGCCTCACTTCCTGAAGTTTCATGCTCTAACTCCTCTTACCTGCCCTCTTTCAAAAAGCACATTGCCATAAGATAGGAATGCAAGAAGGTTGATTTGAAATAATAACTTTCTTTTATTATGAACATTTTTAAAATTAATGTTACTAACAAGTATCTGTGAATTATAGCTTGCTCTCTGGGTTGCCTATTTGCAAAGTTTTGAGAAATTGAACACATTAAAATTCTCTCCTTTCAGGGTTAAATTTATGCAAAATTTAAGAGATTTAAAAAAATATATATTTTATTGATTTTTTACAGAGAGGAAGAGAGAGGGATAGAGAGTTAGAAACATCAATGAGAGAGAATCATCGATCAGCTGCCTCCTGCACACCTCCTGCTGGGGATGTGCCTGCAGCCAAGGTACATGCTCTTGACTGGTATCGAACCTGGGACCTTTCAGTCCACAGGCTGAGCCAAACCAGTTTCTGCGAGATTTTTTTTTTTTTTTTTTATCGAAGATACTTCTTGAATTTAATTCTCTGCATATTTTCTTGATGGGAAATTAAACTTTGCCATTTTGTTCCTTAATTAATTGATAAAATAATGAGGTTTTACTATTGGGTAATTTGATACTTTGAAACATTCTCTCATTTGAACTTTCCAAAGGAGGTACACGCAACCTTTTGGTGTGCCAGCCTTCAGAGTTGTGTGTTTCAGGGATTTACTAATCACTAGCTGGTAACTGATTTACAAAGCAGGAAAGACAGGACTCCTGAATGATGGCCACTGACCAATAAGACAGAGTGTGTACTGGCTTCAAGCCTTGTCTATGGGCTTGCAGATCTTGCTGCTGGCAAAGATTTGATGTTGTCAGATAGTCTATGTGCCACCTTTGGCATCTTTGCCCGATGTCATCGTGTTGTTCTTGACCCTCACTTTGGTTTAGCCACAGAGAACTGCCATGTAGGATATACATTTGAATATATCTGTCTTCCTGTTTGTCTCTTCCTTTGTTTCTCTATTCATCCTCTCACCCACGCATTCATCATCCAGCCAACCATATAGCCATCAGTCTATCCACCCATCTAATATTGTATTTAAGCTGTCAATATACGCGATAAAAGTATGGGCTGGAATTCACCTCTGAAACCATTGCTTAGAACTGAGGCTGGCAAACCTTTCCTGTAAAGTAAGGTGACCAGACGTCCCGCTTTTGGCGGGACAGTCCCGATTTTTAACAATTTGTTCCGCGTCCCGCTGCGTTTTTAAAAAGTCCAAAAGATTTAAAAGAATCTTTCCAAAAATCAGGACTTTTTTAAAACGCCGCGGGATGCGGGACAAATTGTTAAAAATCGGAACTGTCCCGCCAAAAGAGGGACGGACGTCTAGTCACCTTATTGTAAAGGGATAGACCCATGGTTGGAAAACTGCGGTTCATGTGCCACACACTCTTTGGCTCCTTGAGTATGGCTCTTCCACAAAATACCATGGCCTGGGCGAGTCTATTTTTAAGAAGTGGTGTTAGAAGAAGTTTAAGTTTAAAAAATTTGGCTCTCAAAAGAAATTTCAATTGTTGTACTGTTGATATTTGGCTCAGTTGACTAATGAGTTTGCCGACCACTGGGATAGACAATAATATTTTAGGATTGCTGCCTCGATCACCCTTCAGGAGCAGGTGGAGAAGCCCTCAGGGGTAATCAGTGCCAGCACCTGTCGCTTGCACCCATTGACGGCGCCATGAGATTGGAGCTGGTGCTGGGTGCCAGCAACAGATGTGAGGGGTGGCTCTGACAATGGCTGTAGGTGTGAGGGGGGCCATTCCCATCAGCTGGTGCGAGAGGCAGCTGCCAGCCCCGATTGCCCTTCAGGACTTTTCCACCTCCCTCTACTCCTGAGGGGCGACCAGGGCTGACAGCCAATACTTGCACCCACTGACAGCATCGAGTGATTCGGGCCAGCACCAGGCACTGGCAGTGGGTGCAAATGATAGCTCCGTGTCCGCTGTGGGTGCAAGCGGGGCCTGCACCAGCAGTAGGTGCAAGCGCCAAGCGGGTCTATGATGCATGGGAGCAAGGAATTTTCAGTAACCAGTGCCCTGCTGATCTGGTGCCCCTGCTCACCTGCTTCACCATCCCTCTGCAGCCAAAGCCCGCCATGTTCCTCACTCTGCCACCTACTGCCAATGCTTGCCATGTTTTGCATGAATCTCCCCCCCACCCCCCGGTGGTCAATGCATGTCATAGTGATCAGTTGTTCGGATGTTCGTTTGTTCCCCCTTTTGGTCTATTTGCATATTAGCCTTTTATTATATAGGATATTGGTGATTGAAAAAATTCTCTCTCTCTAGTATTCGTTATAGAAATGTCATGGGATTGAAAATATACAAAAAAAAAATACAAGGAACAAAATTTTCTACCATATCACTGATAACAAATTTATAGTTTTTACTTATAAATATGATTTAAAAAAACCTTATTTTTGACCTGAAAATATGGCCAAGCTATATTGCTAAGTGGGGAAAAAAAGATATTATAGAAGGATTCTTAACTTGTTCTTAACAGCATGTATGATGTGATTCTGTGAAAAGAAAAAAAATTACACACGTCTTTGTATGTGCCTGAGAACCTGGCTTAGAGGCTGTATATCTATCTAGAAACAATGCCCCCAATTCCACTGCATAATTGGCTCTGCAAATATTCCCTAGCAGTTGTCAGTGGACATGAAACTACAGTCTGAATCATGAATACCCCTGAGCCTGGATAACAGATCTGCCTCCACTGTTACTAGTATTCTGAAATAGATTCTGAACAGTTTCCAATTCAGAGTTTGGCATGGATGCATTTGATTGGCAGAGCCCATGTTTTGTGCCCTAGCCACAAGAGAAGATGAGAAACTGAATACACGGACTTCACTTTTATAGTGGAGAAAGGGTCCTCCCTCATAAGATGGGCATTTCCCAAATGGTAGCAATAGGATTAAGAAACCTGAATGCCACAGAGAAAAAGCTGTCCACTGCAGACACCCAGGAAATTGTTGGCATTGATTACTTTTGGGCCCTCCTATAATATATGGTTTTATCTCTCCCCCCAGACTTTTATAAATTTGCTCCTTAATAGAAAACTTGTCTGGGAACTTAATTTATTCCAGTAAAGTTTTAGCAGATATATTACGTTTTTTAGCTTTATTATTCAGATCAGTTTTAGATTTATAGAAAAAAGTATGAAGGTAGTACAGAGTTTCCATATATGCCACACCCAGTTTTCCCTGTTACTAACATCTTATATTAGTATGTTACAGTTTGATACATTATTATTGTGTAAAGCCTATTATTGTGTAAAGCCTTTGTTTTTACCTAACATGCTTTTTCTGTTCCAGGATAGCTGATATATTTCATACATTTATATTGTATTTTTCATCTTTGTAGTCATATCATGAAGCTGTATGGTAAATGCCATTTCTGTTTTAAATGACTTGACATTTATGGAAGAATAAATAAAGCTTTGCCATAATGAGTTTCTTATATTCTTTTATGTACAAATGTCACACAAGAGAAACTAATTAACCTTTCATTTCCCACCCTGTTTCATATTCAGTGGAACAAGTTCCTGTGGAACCATACAACATCCCCTTGTCCCAGGCCGAGGTCATACAGGAAGGGAGTGATGTTACTCTAGTTGCCTGGGGCACTCAGGTGAGTAACATTTATACCAACTGGTAAGGTTCTTGTGCTTAGAAGCTCTTACTTTTAATCCTGATACTATGAAGAATTAAAAACAATGCTTTCCTTGTGTCAGATTTGTCTTGTTGCTGGTACTGATTTTTGATGGAAGGTCGGTGCTTATTCAGTCATTAAAATATACATGCACACTAGAGGCCCAGTGCACAAATTCATGCACCAGTGGGATCCTTTGACCTGGCCTGCGGGATCGGGCCAAAACCGGCTCTCTGACATCTGAGCGGTCCCAGATTGTGAGAAGGTATAGGCCAGGCTGAGAGACTCCACTAGTGCATGATCAGGGCTGGGGAAAGATGCAGGAGGTTGATCAGATGGGGAGGGACCATGAGAGGGCTCCAGAGTGTGTCCGGCCCATCTCGATCAGTCCTGGTCAGCCAGACCCCAACAGCAAGCTAACCTACCAGGCAGAGCATCTGCCTCCTGTTGGTCAGTTCACGTCATAGCAACTAGTTGACCAGTTGATTGTTTGCCCCCTGGTGGTCAGTGTATGTCATAGTGGAAAGTTGAGTGGCCTTAGCATATCATTAACATATTATGCTTTGATTGGTTGAATGGCTGACCAGATGACCGGACACTTAGGCTTTTATTATATAGGCTTGCGAAGCCATTAAAAATAGGTTTAGTTTACAAAGATGAATTAATTAAAACACTTGTTTCTTTTGTAGTGCATTTTACCTATTCACTACTTGTTACTACACTTTAATATTTTCTTTTTCATTTCATCTGCTGCTATCTATCATGGTTACTTTACTGACCACTGGTCCAACCTTAGAATTCCATACCTTTCTCTTTTCTAGTAAACCTCACCATAATCTGTACCTACTTTTCCCATTGCTTGTTGTCTCATTGCTCTATCTCCAAGCTTGTTGTCTCATTGCTCTATCTCCAAGCTTGTTGTCTCATTGCTCTATCTCCAAGCTTGTTGTCTTATTGCTATATCTCCAAGCATTTAAGCTCAAAGCTCTTTCTCTGGCCATAGACATCTCTCTTACCTTTTCACCTTTTACAGGAGTGCTCAGTTTTTCTTTTTTTTCTGTGTAAAGGAAATATTTGTTTATTTTAAACTTTTAATATGGTAGTATAAAGAAGATAATGCAAATTATTTGCAATATCACAACCTCCTCCTTTCTTCTCCAGTCCTCATTGTTTCTTGCCTCTGGTGGGAAATCTTTTTATCCACATCCCTGACTCTCTCAACATGTGTCCTTCTCTCTTTATCTCTCTATTAAAAAAAAAATGTTTCTTATTTGTTTCAGAGAAAGAAGGGAAAGAGAGAGAGGGATAGAAACATCAATGATGACAGAGAATCATTGATTGGCTGCTTCCTGCATGCCCTCTTCTGGGGATCGAGCCTGCAACCTCGATGTACCCTGCATGTGCCCTGACCTGGAATAAAACCACGATTTCTTGGTTCAGGGGTTAATGCTCAGCCACTAAGCCACACCTGCCAGGCTTTGCCTCTCTTTTAAATAGGGAAATTAGTGTGCATTAGAAAGTAACTTCCATTACTTGTTTTCCCTTTATACCTATCACCTCTTTCAGTCATTTCCTGTTTTGTTTTGTTTTTTTTTTGTCTTCTAAAGGGAGGTGTCTGTCATAGCTACCTCTCCAATCTGTTTCATATTATATTACATTTTTTTTTTTACTACTGTGATGTATCAAACGGTTCCTCTCTCTCCTCATCTTTAGTTTCTTCTTTCCATGTCCATTTTATTAAAAATGTGTATCTCTTCATTATCTAAAAAGTACATTTTTTCCATCCCATTTTTCTTTTTAGTATTAGTATAGTTTCCTCCTTTCTTTGATTACTAATCTTGAACAATTTCTTCCCCAATATTTAATTTGTTAACTTCCTTATGATTTTTCACCTTATGAATTCTGTTCCCATTAAGTCACTACAACTATTCTGTTAATATCACTCACCTTCTAATTGTTAAATCTAACTCTATCCCATATTTCTATGGTATATGGCACTTGATACTCTCTTTATTTAGCTTCTGGAATACATAATCTCCTTATTTTCTTCCTGTTTCTTTCTTTCTTTTTTTTGTTTTGTTTTATTTTGTTGTTTTTGAAGCTCATTTTCATCTATTTCCCCCTTACTTATTGATTATCTGCAGGGTTCCATGATTCTGCTTTTAACTCTTCCCTCTGAAAGCTTTCCCTAGAAACCCCACTTACTCCTGTGACTTGACCTCAGTATTTGAAACCAGTATTTCTAGTAATGACTCCTCTCACTTTCTCTAGGAACCTCTTTACACCTGTTTTATAGACATTTATACTTTATTATTTTGGTGGAATATTAAGTTCAACATGTCTAAACCAAATTTATTAATTCTCTATGAAATTCAATTCCTCCGACTTTAAATAGTACTTCTATTAATAATGTCAGAACTCAACTAATGTTTTAGGCCTGAATTTCTGTATTCATTCTCTACAAATTTTTCTCCTTATTTCAGGTTCATGTAATCCGAGAGGTGGCTTCCATGGCTCAAGAAAAGCTTGGAGTGTCTTGTGAAGTCATTGATCTGAGGACTATACTACCTTGGGATGTGGACACAGTTTGTAAGGTGAGAATATAGAATGTCATTTTTTAAATATCTTGGAAAAATTTTTTTAAATATTTGCAAATAATTATTTTGAAATTTTGAGCATTGTGAGCATTTTGGACTGATTTTAAATTTTAAAAATTTATACCATAAAAGATATGTATGTTATATAATAAGCCAAACACTTAATAAAACAAATCACTTAGATGTTTTTCTTCCCATAGTTCTCTATGATGATTTGAAAATACTGTATAACTGTGTTCTTTATATCCCCAGCTTGGGTTGACTTGTGTGAGTAATGGAGTAATGTAAAGAAACACAGGGAGGTCATCTGAGTTTTTAATTCTGATTAGTTATAATTTGATAAGCTATGTTTAATATAGTTAGAAATAGTTTGGTTAAATTTCCTTTTGTCTCTTCTCTAAAAGAAATAAAGATGGATTATTTTAAAAAACTAACTCTTTATATAGTCTTAATCTGTGGATCATAGTTTTAATGTTGTGTTGTGGGATTCTGGCTGCTCTAATCTATAGTTTTCTATCTAAGCTTTCTCTTAAACTCTGGCCTGATTAGATTGATCTTGTTGCTTACTATTCAGATGATTCACATAACCCATTCTCAAGGGTACAATTTAGTACTAATTTACTGGGCTATGGCCAATATCATCTACTCCTTTATTGGTACATAAGTAAGGTTAAGCTCTTTTTTTGTGATGGTTTTATCTACTAAATCTTGGGTAACATTGCATGTGTTCTTTTTTTCTTGATTTATTGCTATAGCAAATAAGTCTTATGACCTTAGGGTATTTTACACTTACTATTTTTAGGAACTTTGGCATTATCATAGCTTTACAGGCTGTTTCATAGGTTAATTACATGAAAATCATCTGCAGTTACTCCTACTATAAAAGTATAATGTAGAGTAGATTTATTTATTTATTTATTTATTTATTTATTTATTTATTGTTAATCATCATATGATGATATTTTTTCATTGATGTTTAGAGAGAGTGGAGGGGAGAGACAGAGAGAGGGAAACATTGATATGAAAGACACACATTGATTGGTTACCCTCCTACATGGGCCAGAGATCAAGCCTGCAACCAAGATACATGCCCTGCCTAGAATCGAACCCAGGACCCTTCAGTCCATGGGCAGATGCTCTATCCACAGCCAAACTGCCTAGGTCATATAGAGTGTTTTTAGGTGAAGATGGTGATGCATGTGTAAGAACTTTAAATAGAAAAATCACAAAATATTACTCAATGAGAATAGAGAAGATCCAAATAACTGAATCACATACCATGTTAACAATTTTTTTAAAGCTAAGAATAGTCAAGGCAATTGAAGAATAAAGCTGGAGGATGTAATTACCAGGTTTCAAAATGTTTTATAAGGCTATAGTAATCATAATGTTGTATTGGTGTAAAGATAGACACATAGACCAATGAAACAGAATAAGAGTTCAGCTGAGACCGGTTTGGCTCAGTGGATAGAGCATCGGCTTGCAGACTCAACGGTCCCGGGTTTGATTCTGGTCGAGGGCATGTACTTGGTTGCGGGCACATCCCCAGTGGGGGGTGTGCAGAGGCAGCTGATCGATGTCTCTCTCTCATTGATGTTTCTGGCTCTCTATCCCTCTCTCTTCCTCTCTGTAAAAAATCAATAAAATATATTTAAAAAAAAAAAGAATAAGAGTCCAGAAACAGTTTGTTGTGTCATCTGATTCAAGAAAAAGGTGAAATTGCATTCAGAGTGGAAAAGAAAAAATGATAAAGTTCTTGGGAAAAAAAGCGTAGGTGACTATCTCTATAGTCTTGTGTAGTCAAAGATTTATTATTTTTAATATATATTTTCATTGATTTCAGTGAGGAAGGGAGAGGGAGAGAGATTATTACAATTGTGGTCCTCCTCTACCTCCTCCCCCCCTGCTCATAGCTCCCCTCCACCCGGTTCCCACCTCATCCTCTGCCCTTAACCCTCTCCCCCACACTGTCCTCATCCATAGTTGTACAATTTTTGTCTAGGCTCTTCCCACACCCCCTACATCCCTTTCCCCCCAAGAATTGTCAGTCTACTCCCTTTCAATGCTCCTGATTCTATTATATTCAGTTTATTCTGTTCATCAGATTTTTTATTCACTTGACTTTTAGATTAACTTGTCAATAGATATGTATTTGTTGTTCATAATTTTTATTTTTACCTTTTTTTCCTTTTTTCCTCTTCTTAAAGAATACCTTTTAGCATTTTATATAATACTAAAGTTTGGTGGTGATAAACTCCTTTAGCTTTTTCTTATTTGTGAAGCTCTTTATCTGACCTTCAATTCTGAATGATAGCTTTGCTGGGTAGAGTAATCTTGGTTGTAGGTTCTTGCCTATTCATCACTTTGAATATTTCTTGCCACTCCCATCTGGCCTGCATAGTTTCTATTGAGAGATCAGTTGACAATCAAATGGGTGCTCCCTTGTAGGTAACTAACTTTTTCTCTTGCTGCTTTTAATATTCTCTCTTTGTCTTTTGCCCTTGGCATTTTAATTATGATGTGTCTTCTTATGGTCCTCTTTGGATTCTTTTTTTTTTTTTTTAAGATATATTTATTGATTTTTTACAGAGAGGAAGAGAGAGGGATATAGAGTTAGAAACATTGAGGAGAGAAAATCATTGATCAGCTGCCTTTTGCACGCCCCCTACTGGGGATGTGCCTGCAACCAAAGTACGAACAAGCCCTTGACCGGAATCGAACCTGGGACCTTTCAGTCAGCAGGCCGATGCTTTATCCACTGAGCCAAACCAGTTTCGGCTGGATTCCTTTTGTTTGGGGTTCTCTGCACTTCCTAGACTTGTAAGTCTATTTCTTTCACCAGGTGGGGGAAGTTTTCAGTCATTATTTTTTCAAATAGGTTTTCAGTATCTTGTTCTCTCTTTTCTTCTGGCATCTCCATAATTTGGATGTCAGTACACCTGAAGTTGTCCCAGAGGTTCCTTACACTATCTTCATATTTTTGGATTCTTTTTTCTTTTTTCTTTTCCACTGGGTGTTTTTTGCTTCTTTGTGTTTCAAATATTTGACTTGATTCTTGCATTCCTCTAGTCTGCTGTTGGATCTCTGTATATTATTTTTTATTTCAGTCAGTGTATGCTTAATTTCTAATTGGTCCTTTTTCATATCCTTGAGGGTCTCACTAAATTTATCGGCGGTTCCTAAAAGATTCTTGAGTAACCTTATAATCGTTGTTTTTAACTTTATATCCAGTCATTGCTTTCCTCCATTTATTTCATTTGTGACCTGTTCATTTGTCTCCGCATTTTGCCTGCTTCCCTGAGTTGATAGAGTGGCTTTTTGTGCTAGGATTCCTACAGGGCCCAGTGGCTCAGCCTCCCCAGTTACCTGAGGTGGACACTCTTGGTGCACCCCTTCGTGGGCTGTGTGCACAGTTTTGTAGTTAAGCCTTCATTGTTGTTGGTATCACTGGGAGGAATTGACCTCCAGGCCAATTGGCTGTGAGATCAGCTGTGTCTTCTCTGGGAGAATTTCTGTGTGGAGACACCCTTATGAGATAAGACTTACTTCAGTGGGTCTTTCGTACTCACTGAGTCTGCCCCCTGAGTGTGTCCCTTATGGATCTGAAAAAAGTTGTAATCTGGATGGTCCTATTCTGACCCCTGGGTTCACTGGCTCTTGGATGTCCAAGGATGTGCTAATTTAGTCTCTGCCTGAAGCCATCCAGCAGGAGCTACGGAGAGATCTGCAGATTCCTTTTCTTTGTTTTGGTTTTGGAGATGCCCAGATGAGGCCCAGCTGTGAAGCAGTGCAAGCTGCTGTGGAGCCTTGGGCCTTATTTTGGATGTTATGGGTCTCAGTGACTCAGCAGCAGTTTGTTAGGTAAATTCAAAAGACCAGGAAATTCATATGCAAAAGCCTCTGCACTAAGCTGGAATGGGGCAGAGTCTCACAGTGAGCATACAGCAATGGTTTCCTGTCAGCCCTGCCTTAAGAGGCCCCTGGGTCTGTGTCCTACAGTAATTGCTGTGAGCACCTCTGAAAGAAAGCCACCCCTGAGTTTCACCTTCTGCCAGATAGTCCAGTTTCTTCCCATATGAGTCTGGGTCCCCAGAGTCTCGCCTGGAACTGGAGTTCAGAGCAGTTGGGAGCTTTTGTCTCCCTCCTGATTGAGAAAGCCAGCTGCATACTCAGTTGCCAACCCTTTCTGCATGTGCTCCTCTATACCTCTGCCTTCCACAGCTCCTGTGAGTGTCAGTGTACTTTTCCTTTTCCTTATAGTTGTAGAATTTCCTCTCAGCCAGCCTTCCTGTGGTTTTGGATGATGTCAGTTTTGTCTTTTAGTTGTAGTTTTGAAATTGTTGTGCAAGGCAGCAGTTCAGATGTTTACCTATGCCACCATCTTGGTTTCTCTCTGTAATATTTTCTTATGAATCAAGAACAAATGTTTTACCCTTCAAACCTTATGAAAACAATTTGGGTTTTCCACAACCTTTCTCCTTGCATTTCCGTCTGCAGGTGGGCCATTGTCATGGAATTTAGAGTTGGAAGAGGTCAGCCTGGGCCTGTTCCTTTTGGCCTTCTTGCTGGTTCCAGGAGTGACCTGTGAATTTTTCATCCATCACTAAAATGTAGTGCTTCTTATCAGGATTTTTATCTGTTTCAATATCTGTGGTACAAGATACTATCTCAGAGCTCCTCTACTTCTTTTGAGGTACTTGGGTGGTGTTTTTTTCTTTTCAATTTTTTAACAAAGTTAGGAAATGTCATGGAAAGAATCTTCTCTCTATTGCCTCTACTCTTTTCTCCACCTTGCCCCTTGCTTCCCTTCTTTATCTTTTAAAGCTAAGTTATGTTGCAAAAGATGCTGTGCTCATAGATGCAAATGGTTCTTCTTTGGCTATATATTGAGGTATCCACTGCCTCAGGGTATTTTCGGAGTAGGCTATCACTATAGCAGGACAAGTCCTCAGCAATAGCTCAGTGTGGGACAAGGCTGGGAGTGAATCACTGTGGCA